TTTGATGATGGAATTCGATGACTTTATGGGCAGAATTGAGGATTAAATTGGAATCATAAGGATTTAAAAAATTTGGTTTAGAATCTAAGTCTAAATTTTTCCCAATAACTCACAAAGTTGCCATGATGTCCTTCGTTTTTTTTAAAAAAAACTTTATGAGTCTTTATATAGAATTCACAGTTCGATAAATGCTCAGATGTCGGTTAATCCTATAACATTCGAAACTGTGTGGCATCGGTTAATTATATAAAATTCGAAATTAAGTGATATCGGTTAATCATATAACATTCGAAATGGTTTGATATCAGTTAATCCTAATCTACAAGAATTTTCCTTGGAATAAAGGTCATTACAAAGTTTTGAGGACCAATCGGCGGAAAGCACAAATCATTTCATGGTAACTGATGTGGGCAACAAAGTTTATTTCACAATGAATGTATCTTTTCAGATATTAGTCCTGTTTGCTGTACTGAACCTGTCTTACTACTTACCAAGAAGCCGTCCATGGGGCATTGAATTAATTGGTTAAGTATATCTGCCAACCTGTTATTTAGAAATAATCGTGGTTTAAAATAAATATAGACGTGCAAATACTAATAAATTGAACATAAGAATAAAAACTAAAACTTAAGATTAGAACGAAAAGTTATTGTGAAAACAAAACCATGTTGTGCTTATACAATACAATTTTAATCCATGTTTGACATGATCCTTTACGATCCGCTAATTTTTAAAAAGATGTGGACTAATAATAATAGATCCATATTATTTAAGTAAAAGATATATAATTCGAAAACATTGAACAGATAGGGAAGCAAAGAAAGAGATGTCACAGCAGTGGGGCGGGAGGTATATCGGTGGAGATGGAGAGGTAGAGCAGATAACAAGAAAAGAACAGTGGAAAAATGACAACTTATGTAAAAGAGATAAAGATACAGGAATATAGAAGGAAAAAATGCAAGGCTATTTTGAACGTAATTAGGAAAAATCAAGGTATAGAAAGCAAAAACCTACCTAGGCAAATGTTTGCCCTTGCAATTAAGAGGAATGGGAACAATGAGATGTAATTTACAAAGAAAATATTTAATATAAAAATAATTTCTACTCTCCACAAACCATCCAGTAATAATATATAACTTGTTCACAAGTTAATTGTTCTTCTGTCTAAAAGTTTAATTAAAGTTTACATTAAAGTCTAACTGGGTACATACATTTAACTGCAGGAGGACAAAAACAAAATCCTTATCAAAGAAAACTTACATGGCACCAGCATATATGAATCCTAGGACCGAGCCGAGAACTTTCCAGTTTGTTGACAAGCAGAGAAAGAAAGGATAAAAAACAAATCCTATTTCTAAGACGTAAAGTAGTGTGTAGAATGCTGAAAATGTAAGAAAAACTTGAAAGTATCATAAATAAATCTGCTATTAATTGATAACGAACAATGAAAGCAGATTAAATATATTGCATGTCTATATTCAGCGTTTTCGTAATCTGCAGGTCCCTTTATCACATATTTTTACATGAGACATAATTAAATTCAAGAATCAAAGCAAAACATAATGATCTACACATAAAATATCAATAATGCTAATGCTAATAACAATATTCACTGCATAAAACCCTTATGTCTAAACGAGGTTCCATTCGGGAATAACTAAGAGAGAGAGAGAGAGAGAGAGAGAGAGAGAGAGAGAGAGAGAGAGAGAGAGAGAGAGAGAGAGAGAGAGAGAGATCTTACTATAAGCCCATGATGACATGCCATTTAATAAAACGTTTGTTGATGGAATGATGCTACCTCGAAAGAAGTCAATGCACTTTGATGCAGTAAGACCAAATGTTGCCGCACAAACCAGCCGGTCAACATCGCCGTCCAATAAATTTATCGGGCTGTAATGAATGAATGAATGAATGAATGAATGAATGAATGAATGAATGAATGAATAAGTTGAAAGAGATGTGCGCTTATATGTTTGTATGTGAGAGAGTATATATATATATATATATATATATATATATATATATATATATATATATATATATATATATATATATATATATATATATATATATATATATATATATATATATATATATATATATATATATAAAAAGAGTACAAATCATCTGGCGAATAACAACCCTTTCAAGCGCACTGGATCCACCAAAGGATCATGTGCATCAGGGATTGATTAAGATGGATACAATAATCTGACTACAAACAGTGCGAAACTAGTAACTAGCCTGAGCTCTTTCGACTCCTAATGAGTCTTTTTCAAAGGCAAATACAAAACATATATAAAACAAACAAATAAACACAAAAACGTTGTGTTTGTGGACCTCCACATGGCTGTCTCCACATGGGTTAAAACTATAAATACAACCAGCTTGTATAGACTTGTTGCGGATACTGAAAACTGTGTATAATTCCATAATAGTCTACAAGCCAAAGCGACATCTATTTTTACTTTTTTGTACATTTATGTAATACAGATTATATCCCGGATATTTGATTCTATACTGGTTATTCTTATAGTAAAAATTGAAGGATACTAAGAAGATTTATAAAAAAAAAAGTTGAATTCTACTAGTGCATAGTTTTCTTTTTTTAGTCTACTTGATTTAGACCGCTTGGTTTCAATGTTCTAAGGCGGCGCATCCAGTATGATTCCTTTTCCTTCCTGGTTTCGGTACTCCAGCTGTGGTAGATAGCAATAGTGATAAGTGTTATATCATTGAAAGTGTGGCCAGGGGAGGAGAAGTGTTTTGCGACCCGGCTTCTGTACAGCTTTTTTGTCATCCAATCAGATCTATGAAGGTTTATCCTTTTGTGTAGCTTTTCAGTTTCTCCGACGTACTGAAGGCCACAAATCTTACATGTGATGAGATAAATCACATTCTCTGTCTTGCACGTTTTGTTTGGACCATGTATGTTTAGTTTTTCATTAGTCACTGTGCTAGTGAATGTCCTGGTCACTATCATATGTTGACAGGTTTTGCATCTTTTATCGCCACAGGGTCCAGATTGACTAGGTTGGTTTTGACTAGCGATTGGCGTTAGCTTTGCCCTGACTAGGATGTCCTTTATGATTTTTGGTCTCCGGTAGGCTACTACAAGTTTCTTCGGAAGTATTAGGATTATTATGTCCGACGATTGCACGTTGGGCCAGTGTTTTACGATGATTTTACCTACTTTTGGGTTGTCTGGGTGATAAGTCATGATAAATGGTATCCTATCAGCCTTTTCTTTATGTCCATATTTGAGTAGGTCATCACGGTTTGTTTGTTTGGCCCTTTGGATTGCTTCCGCAATCAGGTCTTTGTTGTAGCCTAGGTAAATTAAATGCTTAGCCAGCTCTTCAGACCTTTCTAGGAATCTTTCATGGTCGGAGCAAATTCTGCGTACACACAGACATCTACTCGAAACCAACCGACAAACACCAGTATCTCCTCCCAACCAGCTGTCATCCAAAACACTGCATTAGGAACATTCCATATAGCCAGGCAGAATACGCATATTATATCCCGGATATTTGATTACATATGTACAAAAAGTAAAAAAAATGATGTCGCTTTGGCTTGTAGACTTTTAGGGAATTATACACCGTTTTCAGTTTCCGCAACTAGTCTATACAAGCTGGTTGTATTTATAGTTTTAGCACATGTAAAGACAGCCATGTAGAGGTTTACAAACACAACGTTTTTGTGTCTATTTGTTTGTCGTATATATGTTTTGTATTTGCCTTTGAAAAAGACTCATTAAGAGTCGAAAGCGCTTAGGCTAGTTAGTTACTAGTTTCGTACTGTTCGTCGTCAGTTTATTGCATCTATTTTAATTAATCCCTGATACACGTGATCCCTTGGTGGATCCAGTACGCTTGAAAGGGTTGTTATTCGCCATATGATTTGTATTCTATATATATATATATATATATATATATATATATATATATATATATATATATATATATATATATATATATATATATATATGGGGGTGCTTTTATTCCCTTTTTTCTGAACAGTGCGGTTTAATATGCTTGTTTTCAACGCGACGATTGTTACCTTGCATTCTGGACATTACAGACTAATGTCTATTCCTTAAGCAATTACTGAACCGTATTGTTCTATTTCGCTCTGTGCGCTGTTCATTGCATCAACCCTGTCTTTTAATCTTCTTGAAAATGCATGGCATTTCTTTCTTGAGTTTACTTACTTCCTTTTCGTCATCACATCACCATTATCTGGCTTTGTTCAATATACTCTGAGTTTCTGAATAACAACTTTGTATTGGCCTTAAGACAAAACTTTAGTTCCATTGCATTCAGTCTGATTTTGTCAGATATCGGTGTTTTCGTGCGCTGGATGAAAGTAGCATTGTGAAATCCGTCGATGCCTCGAGCAAAATATCTTTATAAAGGGAATCTAATAGATTTTTATGGGCTGATGGGTACGACAAACATATCAAACTAATCATTGAATGTCGAGTTCAAGTAATGATAACTATGGTCTACGTTAATGTCCCAAAAGTTCGAATTTGTACAATTTCTTGTCGGTAAAAATTGTTCTTCAAGTAAGTTGATTAAAGTTTCATATTTTGTTGTCGTACCAACATAAATAAAATCTGACACTTGCCATGCCATACCTCTCAGGGCTTACAGCAAAGTTCGGGGACGTCGGTCTTTCGTCGCAACCATTCAGATCCAAAGAGCACTGAAAATGAGTTTTAAATCAATCCATAGAGTTCTTTGAGCATATGTACAAGTTGTTACCCATGGCTGTCTCATATACTCAATCACTGGTTTACATCAGGCGGTTTTCTTCTACATGACCTTAGACGTTCCTACATTTGCCTTTGCATACCGGGATGGGAACTGTTCGCCAGTCGTAATGATATTCTGATTGTTCAAAGTACTGACCGGCCTTGATGTTATCTTTTTCCCAGTCGGTTGCAAGATATTCGTCATTTTCTCCACCGTCGCACACAAGTAAGCTGGACCGCTCCAATGGCCTAGTGGTTAGAACGTCCGCCTTGGATGCGGGAGGTCGCAAGTTCGAACCCCGGCCCAGTCATACCAAAGAATTTAAAAATGGTACTAACAGCTGCCTCGCTTGGCGCTCAGCATTAAGGGGTTAGGGTTAGGACTGGACGGGCTGGTGTCAGAGTAATGTGAATGGGTGGGACATCATGAAACATGTCTGCGGCTTGATGCTCCAGTGCTAGACATCACTGTAAACTGTCACACTGCAAAAATCGTAGCGATGTGACTGAAATTTTTTTAAAGCTACTTTAAAAATCTAAATCACACACACGCACACACATGTAAGATGTATGCGTAACTAAAGAAAGATCAGCTTAACATATACACTACATTTAAATTAAAAGGTCATGTGACCAAAACTACAGCTGCATAAATCAAGAACATTTACAAGGAAAACATTTATTCTACGAACGTTAACTCACTCAAAGTCAGTCATAAATGTTAATCAAATTCCTTAATAATACCATAGATTTACTCCCAATACTGATTCATTCTACATAATTTTGGGGTTAGTCACTATACAAAGGAGATATTAAAGAAGGATGTATGTTCCCATGTAGCTATTGATTAGCAACCTTTACAACTATAGCTACATGCTAACTTCGTTTATTTTTTAATTCACGCATGACAATTCTCGTTATCCATCTTTGACTTTGAGAATCCTGTTCTCTTTTTTCTGAAATGCACTATACTCAAAAAGTACCAATGCTGAATCCAAATTTCTGTTATTATCTTACTATACAAGTCTTGGTCTGCAGCAGCAACAGAGACATTTACTGTTTCCGGTTCTCTTTTCCAAAATCGTCAGCACCGTAATAATGAAGATCTGTGGAAGAAATAAATTCAAAGAAAACATTGCAAAGATGTGTGAAAAGCATTATGCGTATAACTAGTTGCTAAAACGCCGAATTCCTCAGTCAAATTAATATAATACGTATATTAACATTTATAATCGTCTTATTATCTGCATTTGACAGAACATAATAATTCCCTTGCTAACAGATATAAATGTCAATATGAAAACGCATGAATATTGCAACGCGCAAATAATTATGATAAAAGGTAAATCGAGAACCAAATATAAAATGATATAAAGCCATTGGTTCGTTTTATGGGAAAGGACTCAAACACCATTTGTATTCGCTGTATTAAGGTAAGATACTTTTATTAATGAAATATGAGTTGAAGTGACTTGGTGTTGTACGAAGGAGAGTGTAGGATTCCTCATGATCCATTTGATGCCGAATAAGATGTACGGATATTCTGTTCGTGTTAACCATCGTTGTGATGGTGTTCTGACTGACAAATAATTCAAATAAGCTACTAATTCAGATAAAGTGCGCTACAGTGACCTTTTTCGTTTACTTGATATACTTTTCGTGCAATAGTTGGAATAGTTGCATGCAGTTGTGTATTTGACCTGACCTTCATGGTAAGTATATCGATCTGTGTCGCATAGTGACATTTAAAATAATAGCAATCATTCGCGAGGACTTTATCATTCCTAAATACATCAAGACATATCGTGAAATTAAAATTACCACACAGCGTAAATATCAAAAAAGTGTATACTTATAAAGCAACACTAGGATGAAAATTGATGTTAAAACAATGGAATTTTTTTCTAAAAGCAAAAGCAAAACAGCGCAGCAAGGCCATTGTATTGTATTACAAAAATCTATATTTACTGACACAGCCATATTCTGACACCATTTATTTCATGCGATGATAAAATTGGCAAATCAAAGCGAATGATCATGCATAACATGTATACAGGAGGTACAACTACTAGAGCAGTTTGTAGCGGAGAGACATCACCGAAGTGAATACTAGTTTAAATTAACTACATATCTGAACTAGTGGTACAAAACCTCAATCGTGGTTTAGATATACAGATGACTCAACAAAAATTGTAGACGTTGGACAGGTGAAAAATGACGACAATTTTAATACGCCTTCCATTAGAAATGAATAAAAGGGATCATGTAGGCAAAATTTATACAGAACCAAACTGTAAAGATTTACAGATTTATTTTTTTTAAATGTACATAAGAATAAATTTTACAGTGGCAGTAATCAAGATATATCTTAATTTTGTAATTATTTTCAGTTTTACAATTCGCGTAATTCGCATCTATCTCAACCAATTAAACATATGTGTATTGTTTTTCATGAGTTTTAAAGTATTTTTAATCCACAATCTCACATATCGTTGACACCACTAATCGATAAGTTTACATACACTTGACACAGGTAATCGATAAGTTTATATACCCTTGACACCGGTAATCGATAAACTTACATACCCTTGACACCGCTAATAAAAAATCTGACATACCCTTTACAATAAAAAGAGTTACATGCGTTCCATTAGTTTTTGTATTTACAAAAGCAATTTTGAATTACTGATAACATTGCTCATTCATAACTTGTCATGTTTTGATTAAACATTTGTCAAAATGATCCACACCAAGAGGCACAATACCATACTGGACAATGATGGTAGTAAGGATTTCATTGTTCATACTGGACAAGGATGACAAAAAAACTGTATAGTTGATACCAGATAAGGACGACAGTAAGGATTGCATAGTTGATACTGAACAAGGATGACAGTAAGACAGTAAGGACTGCATAGTTGATACCGGTCAAGTATGACAGGATTGCATAGTTGATGCTGAACAAGGATGACAGTAAAGATTTCATAGATACCGAACAAGCATGTCCGTAAGAATTTCGTAGTTGATACCGAACAAGGATGAAAGTAAGGACTGCATAGTTAATACCGGATAAGGATGACAGTAATGACTGCATACTTGATACCAGACAAGACAGTAAGGATTTCATAGATACCGAACAAGGATGTCAGTAAGAATTTCGTAGTTGATACCGAACAAGGATGACAGTAGGAAGTGCTTAGTTGATACCAAACATGACAGTAAGGATTTCATGACTGCTACCGTATAGCGATGACAGTAGTTGATACAGAACAAGGATGACAGTAAGAATTTTATAGTTGATACCGAACAAGGATGACAGTAAGGATTTTATAGTTGAGACAGAACAAGGATGACCGTAAGAAGTTCATAATTGAAACCTGAAAAGGATGACAGTAAGGATTTCATAGACGATACCGGGCAAGGATGACAGTAAGGACTGCATAGTTGATACGAGACAAGGAAGACTGTTACTATTTTATAGTTGATACCAAACTAGGATGAAAGAAAGGATTTCATAGATACCAATCAAGGATTACAGTAAGAATTTCATAGTTGATACCGAAAAAGGATGACAGTTAGAATTTCATAGTTGATACCGAAAAAGGAAGACAGTAAGAATTTTATAGTTGATACCGAACAAGGATGACAGTAAGGATTTCAAAACTGATAAGTTCATGATAAATGAAAAGAACTGACAGTTAGAATGACAGACAGATTTGGAAATAGCTTTAGACAGGTTGGACAATGTCAGAGAAGATGACTAAAGATATGAGAGATCATTAGTTCAGAGAACAGTTTACATATGTGCAGTCTAAATATCTGACAACATACATTTACCCATATATCGTAGCGAGAGATTAAAAAGAAACTACCACACTACTCAAAGAAATATTAATCTCACTACTGAATGATGCAAACAAATCAAATGACGGTTAGCAATATAGTAAAAAGAGAGCATGAAATCACTTGGATGCTGTTATATAATAGACCAACTGCCTTTACCATATAATCTGAGATCGCGGAGAATTATCATTTTTCTAGAGAGAATGATGAAGCCCTCCATGAACTCAAATTTCAATGTCTTCCCATTCTGTTATCGAAAAGGTGTCTGTATTATAAAAAAAACCATGCAAATGAGCCCAGTACTTTCATTTTACTATGATTACATCGGGTGGCCGAGTGGTCTAAAGCGCTGTTCGTTACGGATCACTGCCATTTCACCTCTGTCTGCGTGTGTTCGAGTCTAGAATTCGGCGAATGTGGATATGTGAGAAAGCTTGCCAGTAGCTTCTCGTGGGTCGGTGGTTCTTTCCGGTGATTTCCCGGTTTCTTCCTCCACCATTAATACTGGCCGCCATGAATAGCCTATCGTGTGCTGACAAATGGTGTTAAGCCCAACAACAACAACTATGACAGCATCAAACTGCCTGATTATTATTTTCCGTAAGTGCTATCATGATCAGAAGTTATTTTCTCATAGCAAGAAAGGTCTGCTTGTCGATAAGATTTCTTGAAAAAGCTCTGAGATATATATATATATATATATATATATATATATATATATATATATATATATATATATATATATATATATATATATATATATATATATATACAGAGAGAGAGAGAGAGAGAGAGAGAGAGAGAGAGAGAGAGAGAGAGAGAGAGAGAGAGAGAGAGAGAGAGAGAGACAAACAAACTTGTATGTATTGTTCATCACTACAAATTCGTAAGTTCGCCCGGGTGGAAACCAATAACAACCCGTCTGGTAAATACGGACAAAATCTGCTTTGGTGGCAATCCTGGTCAGATCAATACAAGGGTCGCTTAATTGGGCGGTTAAGCCCGACGAAGCGACCCTTGTGTTGATCTGACCAGTTATTTTGTATATCATATTTTCTAAGTGAAAATGAAATTTAATAAGCGTTTGCTGAGTTGGCGAACGTTCAAGTGCAAACACTTTAACAACATCATGTGCGCGTATGGAGCCGTCCAGCCTAGATTTTAACAATAGCGTTGAATTAGACAGTGGTTGTCGTATACGAAATCGGGTTCAAAATCAACAACTTCGCGTGGTGGTATGTATGTATGTATGTATGTATGTATGTATGTATGTATGTATGTATGTATGTATGTATGTATGTATGTATGTATGTATATATATATATATATATAAATATATATATATATATATATATATATATATATATATATATATATATATATATATATATATATATATATATATATATATATATTAGCCAAATTACAAAAGACTTCGAGGCGTTATTGTGTGTGGTGTGCAACATGG